GCCGCACGCTCGCACCCCCCAGCCCGCCACGCTTCTTACACACGCCGCCTTGCACAGCGCGCCCCCCGCACCTGCGCCTCCCCAGCAGCCCTCCGCCCACGTCGCCCAGCAGAGAGCAAAGCCCACTTGGCGCTCCTGCGGGTAGCAGGACGTGGGGGCCCGGCCCGAGCCCCCGACCGACAGGCGCTGCGCGGTGAGCTCATCTGCATACGCACCGCCCTTCCAGGTAGGACTAGGTGAGTCCCTGGGTCACGTCATCCGTTTTACCTTGAAGTGGATTTATTACCCCACGTTCGTAAAGTAGCCGGCTGTGTCTCTTTCAGACTGCGTACTAACTTGAGGGAGGGGGCACCGACCGCAATGGATGGCACATAACACCCCCCCACACACACACACCCCATTGAGGGGAAGAAATACAGAAACCAGAGGGGAAGGGAGGTTTAAAAATAACTAACAATCTACAATCTATCAGGGGGCCACGGGGGAGGGGGCGGCGTAGAGGGAGTGGAAAAAGGAGCTGATCCCAAGGGCTCAATGGAAAGTAAATGTCTAGGAAAGAACGATGGGATATATGTACGAATATGTCGGAAACAATTGATGTATAGATTGTAACAAGAGTTGTAAGAGCCCCCAATAAAATGATTATTTCAAAAATGAATAGGGAAATTGAACCGATTATCAGCCTCCTTACTAACCTCATTGGCCTAAGGCTCACGGGGGACCCATCCCCACCCCTGAGCCCGGCTGTGGGGCAGGGCTCCACGTGTTCTCGCCCTCTTGCCAGCAAAAGGAACGTTTCAACCCCAGCTCACCTTCAGATACTCGAATCTCAGGAAAGGACTTGGGGTTTTGTTTCAAAGTGTTTGGGAAGGTGTTTGTTTATTTTTGTTTTCTGCATTTATCTCCTTATGGTTTACCTCTTGCGGATAGAGTGGACATCGTTTCTCACCACACCTTCTTTAAAATCCCAATTTCGTTGAGATAATTCATCTGCAATCAAATACACCTGTTTAAGCAAGCGTTTCTAGGAATACGGCCACATACTACCACCACCAGCACCACAAGACACAGAACGTTCCATCACCTTGTAAAACCCCTTCCCAGTCAATCCCTGGCCCCGCGGCCAACAGCTGATCTTTTGTCCTGCAACGAGAGTGCTCACGAGAGTGACCCTCCGCCGGGAATGAGAACAACGACTGACGGTCACACCGACGAGTGGGAAACCCGTGTCCTTCACCGTGCGCCGGGCTCTGGCGGAGCCGCTGGGCGGTTGGAGCCACAGACCTCGCGGGTTCGCGGCCAGAGCCTTAGGGACCGCGGCGGCGTTCGGCACCGGGGCGCCCAAATCGCTCCATCGCGCCCGGTGGACCGACGGACGGACGCGGAGGCTGTGACACCGCAGGCGAGGTCAGGAGAGGAGGCGGATTTTTCCAAACGGTTGTCAAACTACAAACACCCTAGCCACAACGCCTAACCTAGCATTGATTTCGTACCTCCGATAATACAACGGGACCAAGCGGATGTTGTGGAAGCAAGCCGCGTAAACCCTTCCAGTGTAGAGCTTTAGTGATTTACCATCATCTGGTCTTGGTCTTATCTGTCCAAACCCGTACTTTTTTGTAGCTCTGCACTGTGGCGGGGTTGCGTCTGCAACCGTTTGCCTGCCTTTTGCCAGGTAGCCTGACAACTCCTGCAGACAACCCCCCCAGTGTCTTCCCCACCCCACCCCACCCCGCCTCCACCATTTGTGTGTGTGTGTGTACCAGCCCTCCTCCCAGTGTTAGTGTATTGTCTTCCCCTTCACCGAAGTTTACCTTCTTGAGTCCTGTGATGTCCCCTCTCTTAACGATCAAAAAAAGTTTCTTTTGGTGAGAACACCTTTCCTTGACTTTTTACAATAGTGGTCTCACACAATCTGTCTCTTCTGTGGCGTGATCGCCCTCCGGGTTCATCCACGCTATCCAAGTGTTTTGCAGATTGATTATTACCCTGGAACGCTGGTTGCTTAATTAGCACACTTGGGCGGGCGTGCACCGAATGCGCTTATCATGCCTGTTTCCACTGATGGACATTTCGGGGCTGTGCACGGAGCCGCGGCAGACACGGGGTACAGGGGTCTCTTCCTGCGGGTGCTCTGCTCTCCTCTGGGGTATAGACCAAGCCGAGGGATTGCTGGGTCACGTGGCATTTCAAGCAAGAGGAGCCCAACGGGCTGCCAACTGCAAGGTCAGCAAATGAAATCCACCAGCTAGCTGCTCCCTGGGAGAAAGATGAGGTCGTGGCTGCGGCAGACTGGCAGCCCAGAACCCCTAGCGAGCAGTGCTACTCTGCCCTGAGTGTCGCGGTGAGTCAGAAAGGACTGGGTGGCAGGGGGTTCATGACTTTCTAATCCTAACTCTGTGGAGGAAGTGACCTACTGTTTCCCACCGTGGTGGCATCCTTGTGCGGTCTCCCGGGAAGTGCCGCAGGCTCCAGGCTCTGGATTCTCCCACGGTGAAATCTTTGGAGGGACCCAAGTGTCTGCGTTCTGGGAGGTCCCACTCATCCATCTCGTTGGCTTCCACGGTTTGTGTGTTTTCTGCTGTGCTTGTCAGTGTATTCCTGGCATGCATCCAGGGCCCTAAGTTTGTGTCCCAACTTCTCCAAGATAATCTTTACACTTCTAGGCTTTGCATTAGGATCTTTGCTCCATCTTGATTCGTTGTTGTATGTGGTGGGAGCCGCAGGTCTTGTCTCACACCCATTTTGTGAATGGACATCCAGTTTAGCCAGCATCATTCTCTTGCCCATTGAATGTGCTCTGGTCCTTTGTCAAAGATCAGCTGTCTGGCGGTCATCCTCCCTTCTAAGGGGTGGTTTGGCTTCAAGAAAGACAGATTTGTTTGTTCTTCCGGCTTTCCCTGGCATAGTGACTATCTTTAGCAATACAGTGAGTGCATCCTTCAAACTCATCAATTCTCCGTCGGCCGTCCTTAATTCATTGTTCATAAAGTGATAAAGAAAACCCCAATCTCAGGCAAGCACCTTGGTCTTCCAAATGCCACCTTTGCGGTTGAACACCTTCAAGCGGTCTTCTGCTCTTACAGTTTGCCCAATGCGAGACATCTTTTAATTTCTTCACCGCTGCATTTCTATGGACATTGATGTGAATCGAAGTTTAACAACATCCTTGACAACTCGAATCTCTTCCATGTTTATCATGTTGTTGGTTATCGGTCCAGTTGGGAGAACTGTTTATCTCTCATGTTGTTGAGGTGAAATTGACATGGGAAGCTGTAGCACCTGTGACGTTCATGAATAAGTGCTTGAATAGTAGAAGCTATTAAGGAATCTCTGTCCTTATTCCTCACACAGTCTGTGTGGTGGCAGTCTTTCAATGCGAACCACAGAATCAAATACCTTTGCCTAGTGTGAGGATCGACTGGAAAACAACAACCACACATAGTTATACAAACATAGACAAATACACCTATCTTTATATTTTGACATTTACATATATACATATCTATATTGATACCTATAGATATAATTTTTACTCTCTTCTTCTTTCCTCCTGCCCCACTACCATGTTTTCTCTTTCCTCC